TATTTACTTGCTTTTAAACATTATGTTCCCTTTACAAGTGGGAGGAAATTTATTTTTTATTTTTTGGTACCAGGGATTAAACTGAGGGGTACTGAACTACTGAGCCACATCCCAGCCCTATTTTTTGTATTTTATTTAGAGACAAGGTCTCACTGAGTTGCTTGTTAGCACCTTGCTTTTGCTGAGGCTGATTTTGAACTCAAGATCCTCTTGCCTCAGCCTCCTGAGCTGCTGGGATTATAGGCATGTGCCAACCATGCCCAGCTTTTAATGATTTTTTTTAACTGTTGCAGAGTATGGCAAGTATGTGTCTTGATCCTTTTTGTTACTATAATCTAATCCAAAATTGCCCAGTAGAACTTTCTGAAATGATGGAAATGTTCTTTATACTAATGTGGAAGCAAATCAGAAATGTATGCTAAATACATTTGTGGCTGTTGAGCACTTGGAAATGTCAGTGCAGGAATTAATAATTATATGTATTTAATTTTAATAGCACTGTGCTGGACAGTGCAGATTAGTCTTTTATTGTGCCTTCTTAAGTACTCAACATTATATAGATGTCATCATTGGAATAAAACAAGGAGAGGTAGGAGGGGGTATATATAGATCAATGGTAGAACATTTCTTAGCATGTGCAAGGCCCCAACACCAAAAAAAAAAATGGATTTTTATTAGATAAGATTATTAAACGAGGTGGGGAATGTAGCTAAATGGTAGAGCACTTGCCTACCATGGAGTAAGGCTGTGGGTTCAATCAGCCCTGCAGAATATATATTTTATACACACAAATATGTATACATATATAAACTGTATATTTTTTAATGTGGTTTGCTAAAGATAGTCCATTCTTTTTTTCCCTATCATTTCATCCAGTTTGTTTTGTGGGGTTTTTTTGAGGTCTTGTTCAAATCCTGTTTACAATCAAAATATATACAACTATTTGAGACTTGATGTTTATTTGGAATGTTATTCATTTTATATTTAAGCTTGGCCTTGATATATAATAACCTCCATTGCCAATGAATAATGGTCGATAGAAACTGATTATGATAAGTGATTTTTCTCACATTTCTATTGATTTTGAATGGTATTTGTTTCACTCGACTCTGAGCTCCTGCAGGTCAGGGAATAATCTTAGCAGGCTTGATATTCCTGGTGCCTGGTACAGTTCCTGGCACATCAGAGACTTGCAAAAAAAAAAAATAATAAGGAATTTTCGAGTGGGATCTCATTTATGCACCTAACAAATGCAGATGTCTGTATTATGCTGAAATTATATTTTCAATGGTTGGCAAAGGCCATTTAATATTTTAATACTTAGAAGCAGAAGTCTATTAAGTTCTCAATATTATAAAGAAAAGACTAAATAGGCAAATATAAACAGGATACAGTTCTTGCTTTCAAAGAGGATCAATTTATAGGCATGGATAATATTGAAAAGATTTGTGAATCATGAAAACTTGAAGATCAGTGTGTCAACAATTTTTTCTTCACAATTACTTTGACCCGTTGTATATATATAGGTGTGAAAAAGAAAAAGTTGCTGATTCCTGTGGTTAGAGGAATATGAAACGAGTAAATTTCTTGGTACTGGGTTTAATTATATCTTTCTGCTTATCCTTAATTCTAGTCCTAATAGAAATCTGATTTCAAAAACACATTCATTGTTAATCATCTTTGTTGTGTTCTAAGTACTACATTTATATTAAATGGCAATACAAGAATATTACATTCATATTAAATGACAGTGCAGATTTTATTAAAAGGATGCAAAACTAAAAATAATTTGAAAAATAAAGTATTTCACTGATTCCCAACTCATATGCCTTTTTTTTCAGGAGTTACAAGCACATGTTGACCAGATAACTGAAATGGCAGCAGTGATGAGGAAAGCCATTGAAATCGACGAGCAACAGGGTTGCAAGGAGCAGGAACGAATATTTCAACTTGAAGTAAGTTTTAAATTGCAAGTGTAGGTGAAAACTGTCCATAAAAAGGCATGCCAGAGGGGCTGGGGTTGTGGCTCAGTGGTAGAGTGCTTGCCTAGCACATGTAAGGCACTGGGTTTGATTCTCCACACCACATAAAAAAGAAAAAAATAAAAGGCATTGTGTTCATCTATAACTAAAACATTTTTTT